GGCCTTTGCCGGCCTCCACCCGCGCCCGCCCGGAAGGGGATGGGACAGGCCTCCTCGTCTCCATCACTTCCTTCTCTCTCTTGACCCCCGCCTCTTCTTCTCCTTCGGTGGCCCTCCAGCACGCCAGCCGAGTCTCTTTCCCTCTCTCCTGACTCGTGTGCACTCACCCCGCGCTCAGCTCCCTGGTCCCCTTCCTGCCCCAAGCAACTTGGTTTTCACAGCGTTCCAAGCCCAGGTCCACCCAGGGAGGTGATGCACGCAGAGCAAAGGGCTTCAGCAAGCACGCGGACTCGCACAAGGTGCCTTACCTTGACCACTTAGGTGCGCATGGAACGTATAGTGTGCCTTGTTTGCCCACCAGCTCAACCCTTCCCCCCTTCCCCCCATACACACACCCCGCAGAACTGCCAGGAAACCCCCCATCACAGAATCAAGGAGCCAAGAATCAGGACTAAGGGGCTTTTCAGAAACCATTCCCGGAACGAGGGGCCCTGCCTTTCACCCCAAGGACCCCTGTGATTACTCCCTGCTTCACCCCCCCACCAAGCCCAGATTCTGAAAGAGCCTTCCCACCAGACTGCATTGATTAACTATTCATTCATTGCCCCATTTTTTATTAATCAAAGACATATATAATTGCCCATCGGAGCTTGTGATCAGCATGAGATAGCCAGCCTAGGCAGCTGGTTGCTGTCCTTCCAGCACAGAGCGAGTGAGCTGACGTCTTCTTTGGCCTGGATGGCTGTGTCCTGTCAAAAGCTCCATTTGGAGGAGCGCTTATTGCATTTTAGATGCAATCTGCAGGCCCTTATGCCCAGATTCCTGGATCTCCAGGAACTCAAGCTATTCCAAGCCCAACCTTCTTTTTTCAAGAAGCAACCATGGTTAGGATAGTGGAAGGCCAGAATCAGGAAGTGTTTTCCAGATCACTGCCAAAGCACAAAAAGAAAGCCTGTAGCCACCAAAGTGGCTTGACTGTGTGGGGGAAAGGCAGAGATGGCACCCCAAGGACTTGCAAATTACACCGCATGAGGCAGGCTCTTTTGCTGCCCCATCTATAAAATGAGGACAATATCACCTTAATTACAGAAACCATCCCCTAAGAGGTATTGGATGGGTGTGTGGAGCTGGTGTAGCAGGCTGGCTGCAGGGTCCTGGGTTTTCCTGTTTGCAGTTTATGTAGACAGAGCCAGAGAAGTGGACTTGGGAGGGACTTCAAGCAATTAACCCAAGTGTTACCCAAAGTGACAACACTACTCATCTCCCAAGTCTGTGTTCTTTACACCCCAGTCTCAACAGCAGATTCTTGGAAAACAAGGCTTTTCTTGAAGAAGAAGGAGAAGGAGAGGAAGAAAAACTAAAGTTATGGAAGGAAAAACCAAAAAAAGAAAAAATATGTAGCAGCCCAGGACAAACAGGACTTAAGATGTGGGGTTTTCTTTTTTTACTGCAAGATACAAAGATACAGAAATTAATGCAAGCCCTAGCTTTTGCACTGGCTTACATTTTGCTCTCCTGAGGACCTGGGGGATAAAAAAAAAAAAAAAAAAGTGGAAATAGCAAAGAAAGAACAGAAAAAGTCAAAGCCAGGAGAGAGATTTTAGAATGTAAATTGGCAGGAGCAGTCAGAAAGGCCCAGCTCACGGGCTATCTGTGCATCCAGGACTGGAGCACCGGACTTGGGTCAGGCCACCCAGGACTCTAACCACTTTATCTTATTAAGTCTCTCTTGGCTTTCAGTTCCCCCACCCCAGACCCCAGCCATGTCTACAGAAGGCACCAAACACCTCTATGAATGTGGCTGTCCTCCTAAAACTGTTGGGACAGAATATTAGAATATTCTCTGCACCATTCCCATCTTATCTGATTCGAGTTCCAGCATCTAACAGAAGCAGATCCTATTCTGATCACTCTTCCGCCTTGCACCCTGCTCCGATGAGGATTAATGTGTAACATCAGAGAGAGGAATGATTAGAATAAGGTCTGACGGCTCACCCGATGTCTTCATCCCTTCTCTTTGCTTCCATCCCCTTCACCTTGAGTCTTCTTTTATTGATCGCTCGTGGCTCCACAGATATATATATATAAAGCACCCAGCTCCCACCCTGCCAGGTACTGGGGTTCAGAGAAAGGAGACTGAGCGCCTTCCCTCAAGTAGCTCATTCTCTAGTGGGGGGGAGAAACAGAAAAAAATGTGAAAAAAAATTTTTTTTTCCAGGCAGAGTCCTGCACAGTGCATTCAAAGGCAAGGAGTAGAGCATCCACAAGAGCAGGAATGTTCAGGAACCAGCTAGACAGAGGCTGGCCAAGGGAGTAGTAAGACTTGAGGCCAGAGTGGCAGTCTAAGTGAAGGCGCTTGAATTCCAGCCATATCAACCAGTCATGTCCTGTGGATTCCATCCCTTAACATCTCTCTGGCCCATCCCTGGCCACTGCCGTATTCAGATGTTCATGGTTGAGGAGGAGACCCACTAGCAGAGCCCAAGCTGATGAGGCAGCTCTGGAGGTCCCAGCCCTGGATCTCTGTATTCTTGCTTTAGAGGGTTCCAGGCAAGAGACAAGACTTAGTGAAGAATAGCAAAGTTTACTTCAAGGAATAAGAGGAAAAGTGGACACCCTCAAGGGAGACAGTGGATTCTCTCAGGGAGAAGGGTGGCATGCCCCTCCTGCTCTCCAGTTTTATTTGGGGTGCCAGGGGAGTTTTCAGAGAGTCCTGCCCAGGTCCACCTCTTGACTTTTGACTGAGACAGCAGGATTGCATCAAACTTCCAAGTCCCACAGTACAAGATAAAAGTGCAGGGCCACTCTAGGTCACTGTCAATTGGGCTCATGCTGACAGGTTCTAATTGGAACTTGTTCTCATAGATTTTATGGTTGGGGGGATGATCCTTATCTCCCTGAGTTCCAGAAGCTGAAACCCCCAACCCCCAGCTTCCCACTCCCACCCTGCCACCAGCCTTTCAGGGTAACTTGTGTTATTGGCATCTGTGTTTCTCTTGCAGATAACAGGTTGATTGCTGAGGAACGCAACATATCCTATTGGCTTAAGCCAGGCAAGGCTGGAGTCAAATTGTTTTAAAAGAAAGCTGTGGGGTTCAGCACGGTTATCCCACTGCTCACGTCTGTCTGCTCCCTTTCACTCATCGTTTCTCATGCAGGCTTCACCTGAGTCCAAACTTTTGCCATTCTACTGCAGGAGTTTATTTTATGATTCTGTATCCTGTCAGAAGTCAAACAGCTGGTAAAGGCTAATCCAAGTTCAGGGGATACCAGCCAGGGGACTTTGCATTGTGGGGAAGAGGAAGCATAGAGCTAGGTCTCTTGCATCCCACATAAGTACTGGTGCAGGGGATTTTTTTCCTTCCCACCACAAATGTCTAGCTATCCAGTCTCCACCCTGTGGGTATTTTTAATGGCAAGGATGGGGAGGTCCGTTTATTTACGTAGGTCAGGGAAGATTGGTTTGCCAAACAGGGCCGTAGGAATGAGCTGCTCCAAATCATACCCCTGGCACAAGCAGCAACCTGTCCTCAGTGGGGGCTATCTTCCAGTGCCGCCCCTGCCTCCCCTGACCTCCCTCCTCAAGCCTCCTTCAGGTAATCTCAGGCAGGCCCGTCTCCCTCCACCCCACTGCCGCTCTCTGGGTAGGAGTTGCACATTCTGACCTACCCCCTCCCACTCTGTCTCTTTTCAGATTTTTATGTGCATAAACTGTGAACCATTCACAGAAAGGGCTTTGATTTCTGATATTGCCAAGCATGCAAACAAACCAAACAAATACACATTTTCCTTCCTTTCAAGATCTGGGTTGTACAAATCAGAATGTTTGGTTTTCCCACCTGCAGTCTTGAAAGGAGCTTCAAGAGCCTATTTCGGAAGTCAAAAAGCAAGAGGTAAATGCAAACATTTTCTCTTTCGTTTCAACTGGGAAGAAAAATCCCAATTATCTTGAGGCAATGCCAAAAAGAAGAAGAGAAAGGGAAGGAGAAATAGAAGCAGAAGAACATTGACTCAGGGCCAATTACTGATCTCTCTGAGCTTCCCTCTCCTCACGTATAAAATTGGAGTCAGGTTGTTGTATGGATTAAAGATAATGCATGAAAATTGCCCATTAATACACTAGCTGATTAACAAATACCCACTCCTGCTGCTAACAAAAAAAATAATGATTTGATTACTAGGAAACCAAGAGGAAATCAAATCAAAAAGAGGACATGAAGTTATATCTGAAGATTGCCAAGTCCTCCTAACCTTAAAAAAAAAAAGTGAAAAAATATCGCTGTGTCACAGGTTGGCTCAGTCTCAGATTTAAGGACCCCTGTCCCAGGGAGATAACCTTCATGTAACCAAGATGCACATCAGTGTCATCGCAGGGGACCTTGGTTGATTGTACTGTGAGCTCTGGAAAGGAAGTTCCTTCAAGGACTTTGTAAGCAGGAAGGCAAGGGAGGCTCAGAGCTGGACTCCTAGTGTGTCTCCTAGTGTGTTCAAAGCAGCTCCCATGAGGGTGCAGCTCTACCACAGGCCCTGACTCCAGAGGGGGCCACTCTGATCTGGAAAGAGCTTTCTCTTTAATGGATGGTGAATCGCAAAGGCTGCCCAAAGAGACGCTGGAAGGAGGGGGCTGCTCTGGCTG